AGATACCAGCCCTTCCCTGGCCAAAGGGCAGAAACGTGACACTAGGTAAGGGACTCTCCCCAGGCACTTTGTCCTTTTGACCCTGAGGAGGTTATGCACGAGGTCCTATTCCCAGAGCAGCCCTGAACCTCCAGCCAATCCATCGACCCCATGAGCCAACTGACCACCTCCCAGTCCACCCCTTTTCTGCTCCAATTAACCAGAGCTGGCTTCTGTTGCTCACAACCAAAGAAGCCTGACTGGACAGTATCAGGTTGGGGCTGAAGCACCAAATTTCCCAAACCATAAGAAAAGCAGGCTAGACGAGGAAGTACGTGTTCACGGAGCCCACACCATCACAACATGGATTTGGAGATAATTAGGACGCAAAGAGAGACAAGCCTTGGCCCTCAGCTTTGCAAGCATCACGTTTTGAGCAGGTTGACTTCAGCTCTCAGAACCCCAGCAACCCAGTATCACAACTCCCGGCCTTTGCGAAGGCGACATCCTTGCCTCACCCAAGAGGCTCATTCGGAAAGGTTCCTTAGACACAGAAGTAGCCAGTCACCTGGCCATCTGATGACCAGGATGCTCAGCCCCACACAATGAAAGCCGTCCAAGGCAGACCCTGGGAAGAGGGGATGGGCTCCCTCAAAACCAGGTGATCCCTTCCCCTTCACGTTTCCCCACCAGAACAGAAGTTCCAAAATACCTACGAAAATCCATCCAAACAGCTGCAGACTGGCTTTCTTCAAACGTCTTAGAGGACAGGATGCCGGTCCCAAGCCTGCCTGCTGGGCTGCCCTACAATTTTTTATTTTTTTTTTTAATTGAAGCACAATTTTGTTACTGATTTAGAGTATTATATTAGTTTCAGGTGTATAGTGATATAGTATAGTGATTCAGTATCTTTATAGATTATACTCCTTTAAGTTATTACAAAATGATGCCTGTTCTTCCCTGTGCTGTACAGTATATCCTTGTGGCTTATCTATACTATACACAGTAGTTTGTATCTCTTAATTCCATACCCTCTTCTCTCTCCCTCCTGGTAACCACTAGTTTGTGTTCTGTATCGGTGAGTCTGTTTCTGTTCTGCTGTATACATTTGTTTGTTTTATCTTTTAGATTCCATATGTAAGCGATACTATATAGTATTTGTCTTCAACTGACTTACCCCGCTAAGCCTAAAGTTCTCTAGGTCTAACCATGTTGCTGCAAATGGCAAAATTTCATTCTTTTTTATAGCTGAGTAATATTTCATTGTGTATGTATATACAAACACATATACACATCTTCTTTATCCATTCATCTGTTGATGGACACTTGAGTTGCTTCCGTATCTTAGGTGTTGTAAATAGGGCTGCTACAAATACTGGGGTGCAAGTGTCTTTTTAAATTACTTTTCTTTTTTATTCCATATATATACACCCAGGAGTGGAACTGCTGTTATCATATGGTAGTTCTATTTTTACTTTTTTGAGGAACCTCCACACTGGTTTCCATAATGGCTGCACCAATTTGCATTCCCACCAACAGTGCACAAAGGTTCCCTTTTCTCCAGATCCTCGCCAACACTAGTTATTTGTAGACTTTTTGATGTTAGCCATTCTGACAGGTATGAAGTGACAGCCCATACAAAGTAAATTAAGTAGTACTGGACTAAAACCTAGAATGTAAAATAACTGAGTCTGCGCTGATCTAAATAAATGACCAAACCAATAACTGGGAGAGACAAGACATCTCCCACCCAGAAGAATTCCAAATAATTTATGTAGATCCTCTGGCCTTAGGGAGGTGGTGCATGACACCCTCCTCCGTAAGTGTGCGCTGGGCACTGTGACTTCATTCCAAAGGAGAAACCTGACAAACCCGCCCTCAGGCAAGTGATCAAGGTCAATATCCCCAGGGACAAATCACGTTGATAACGGGTACCCTTGATATGACATGATGTAAATGGCACGCCGGTCTGTGGTCTTCCTTCCAGAAGCCCGTAACTCCAGCCTGCCCCAGTGCAATCAAACCCCAATGGAAGATCACCCTACAAAGTACCTGACCGGTTCTCCTCCAAACTATCAAGGCCATCGAAAACAAGGAAAGTCTAAGAAACTACCGCAGCCGAGAGAAGTCAAAGGAGACATGATAACTAAGCATCCTGAGGGATTCCGGGTGGGATTCTGGAACAGAAAAGGGTAGAAACTAAGGAAATCTGAACAAAGCACGAACCTGAGTTAGTAATAATAACACGTCAACACTGATTCATTAATTGTGACAAACGGATCATAACAATGTACAATGTTCATAATAGGGGGAAAACTGTGTGTGTGTGTGTGTGTGTGTGTGTGTGTGTGTGGTGGGGGTGGGGGGTATACGAGGTAACTTATTTAGTACTTATTCTTACAACCTAACCGTTAACCCGGTAAATTAACTAAACT